CCCCCCCCCCCCCCCTCTCTCTTACAAATGGAAGCTTCCCCCAGATGAAACCACTTAAAACTTCTTCAGAGTTGGTGTGAAGCTTGGGGCTTATAAAAATGATTATAGAAAAACGCTAGCTCTGTGAGCAGACAAGATGAACCAAATCCTGCCCTATGGCATGAGTGGCTACCCGAGCCTACTTGAGATTACCAGCTATATCCCATAAGAAAATAGTGTTCTTTTTCATACAATAAATCCTTTATTAACCAGTCTTGATGGCAAAGATGGTTGGATATTGCCTTTGTTCCTTATTTTGTGTTTATAGACCTTGACTCTGTATCAGTCCGTAAGCATGCAATATCCAGCAATCTTGACCTTGCACTTGGTCAATACCCCATATAAGACTGAGAACTGCAGATGTATTGCCATGATTTTCATTGATTCAATTTTTTTAGGTGCCTGTCGGAGATCAGCCACTAGATATTGAGCATCAAATCCGTCACCTTATTCTCCAGTATATCAGTAATCCTAACTATATTATTCTAGCCGTGACACCTGCTAATATCGACCTTGCCACATCAGAAGCTCTGAAGATTGCCAGAGAAGTGGATCCAGACGGTGTGTATTCTGATAACTTTTGCTGAGAATCTGCAGATAATAAACAATTAGTAGTGTTACATGTATATAGCTGGAGTTTGGCTGAATCTGACGTGTGCTCTTATTGGTTGATTTATGGTCACATGGCAGTGGCTAAATATAAATTGTTACCCTGCAGGCAACAGTTAGGGAATTGTTGCATGCTCTCCCACTAACCAGAAGTTACTTTGACTTACCTTATTACTTTACAGTACACTTCAGGTACAAACAGAACACTTTATCACTGGTCCCTTGAATCTTAGGGAAATCTCTGTACAACGTACTTCTTTGACTATAACATGAATGAGACTATAACATGCTGTATATTTGATTAGGAAACAGAACACTGGCAGTTTGCACAAAGCTTGACCTTATGGACCATGGAACAGATGCTCTGGACATTTTATATGGAAGAGGTAAAAGATATTAGTTTCTATGTTCTGTACAATGGAAACCCATTATTATGGTCACCAACAGGCCATGGAAATTTGGCCGTATTAACAGGGTGACCATACTAATGGTGTGGCCAAATTAACGTATTAACGGGGTGACCGGTAGGGTCGAATTTCATGACTGGTCTAAATAAGTGACGTCTTAACAGATGTATCACAATAATTGCATTTCTAAACTTTGATGAGCATCTGGAATGCAGATATAATTTTAAAAAAATTGAAACTTTAATCGGTACATGCAATATTAAAAACGGAATGATGAACATAACTGGCTCGAGTGGCTGTATTAACGGGATAAAATTATAAAGGATGTTGCTGTTGGCCGTATTAACGGAGTTGCCGCATTAGCAGGGTTTTCTTACAAGAAAATGTGTGGGCGTTTTGCCGGGACAAAAAAAAAAGTGGCCGTAATAAAGAGGTGACTGTATTAACGAGGTGACCATGAGGTGGGGTTCCATTGTGCTAGTTAGTAGTATTTGGATAGTTTGATCGATGTAAATCAATGTTTACAATAAAAGACACTAAAAGATTTTATTATGAATAATTTTGACAATTAATTTTTACAAAGTTCTAATAAATGTCTTTATTTCTTTCTTAGTTATTCCAGTTAAACTTGGAATTATTGGCGTGATGAACCGAAGTCAACTAGATATAAATAATAAAAAGGTATTTATTATTAAAATGACACAGTTTACTTTTGCGCCAATCAAGTGCAGTCTTATTGCAAGTTTGCACTATAGGTTATCGTTTGTAAGTACAATAAAAGCGCGTTAATACGGTCACCTTCATGAAAATTTGACTGTATTGACGGAGTTGGTTCTAATTTCATGACTGGTGTGCTTTGTACTGCGCCTTTCAATAACATGCGTACTCTAAAATTCAAAGCTCAACCGAAAAATGCGTTTTTCGCTACCGTCAATCAAATGTTCGGCTGCTCCTCCCAGCTTCCGACTACTGCCGAGAGCGCGGTAATCAAATCACTGAGTACAGTTCAGACAACGAAACAGTGCTCGGCAGTAGTCGGAAGCTGGGAGGAGCAACCGGACATTTGATNGGTAATCACATCGTTGAGCACAGTTCAGACAACGAAACAGTGTTCAGCAGTTGTCGGAAGCTGAGAGGAGCCGCCGAACATTTGCTTGACAGTAGCGAAAAACGCATTTTGTCGGTTGAGCTTTGAATTTTAGAGTCCGCATGTTATTGAAAGGCGCAGTAAAACACGTCACTTAAAAGTGACGTCTTGACAGATACACATGTATCACAGTTACACTTTAAACAACTCTTCTTTAATAAACATCCGGATTGAAAATATAAGTTTAAAAAATTGAAACTTCATTAGACAACCCTTGAATATAAACATACGTTAACTGGTTCGAGTGACCTTGTTAACGGTGTAAAATAAAAATTGGATTATACAAGTCGGAATTACATAATGTGGCCGTTGGTTGTATTAAGGGAGCGGCCGCATTAACTAAAGGGGTTGTCTAATAAGAAAATTTAATACGTATGCCTGTTTCGCTGGGACAAAAAAGTGGCCCTAGTAGCGGAATTTAAGGAGGAACTCCACTGTAACATGTTGTGCTGAGTAGATGCCGTGATGTTACGTTGACAAAGGCGCCATCGGGACACTGAAACATCGATTCTTATCTTTTTATTTGCTCCAGCACACAAATATGAGTTTGGGATTACTTTTGTTATATTTTCTTTTTCTGCAGACTATTCAAGCTGCCCTGAGAGATGAAGCACTCTTTTTTCAAAAGAATTATCCGGCCTTAGCGTCTCGAAACGGCACTCCTTTCTTAGCGCGGACTCTAAATAAGGTACAAACGAGCTCAGACTGAATGATAGAAGAAAAAGACAATTTACAGGTCTCCTTATGTACTGCTAGCTTGTAGAAGCCCTTGGGAAAGTTTTAGAACACTTGAGAAGTACGAACAGCACTTAGCTCCTCTANAATGAGTTCCTATAGCTTTCTGTGTTCGGAGTTAGTTCGATGAACTTGTCTTTGTGAAAAGATCGAAGTTAACAATTACGCCTTTTGATATAGCATGGGATTTCTAATGCTGATTCACCATGAATAGCTTTATGAAGTAATGTGAGGTGAGCAGATTTCTTTCTGTCTTGAAGGGAGGGCCATTCCAAGTCGTTAAGTAAATTGGAAACAGTTCCAGGCGTTCGCTCTATGTTGGCTCCATCTACAGACCACCGCAGTGGCTAAATGTAAATGTCACCCTGCAGGCAACAGTTAGGGGATGTTGCCTGCTCTCCCACTAACCAGAATTTACTCTGACTTTATCTTGCTTTATTACTTTACACTAAACTTCAGGTACAAACAGAACACTTAATCACTGGTCCTTTGAATCTCAGGGAAATCTCTGTACAACATACTTCTTTGACTATAACATGAATGAGACTATTAACATGCTGTACATTTGACTAGGAAACAGAACACTGGCAGTTTGCACAAAGCTTGACCTTATGGACCATGGAACAGATGCTCTGGACATTCTATATGGAAGAGGTAAGAGGTATTAGTTTCTTTGTACTGTACTCTGGAAACCCATTATTACTGTCACCAACAGGCCATGGAAATTTGACCGTATTAACAGGGTGGCCATACTAACGGTGTGGCCCTATTAATGGGGTGACCGGTAGGGTCGAATTTCATGACTGGTCTAAATAAGTGACGTCTTAACAGATTTATCATAATAATCGCACTTCTAAACTTTGATGAGCATCTGGAATGCAGATATAAATTGAAAAAAATTGAAACTTCAATCGGTACATACAATATTAACAATGGAAAGATGAACATATTAAACTGATTTGAGTGGCCTTACAAACGGGATAAAAGTATAAAGGATTATACAGGTTGGGATTTCAAAATGTTGCTGTTGGCCGTATGAACAGGGTGGCCGCATTAGCAGGGTTTTCTTATAAGAAAATGTGTGGGCGTTTTGCCGGGACAAAAAAAAGTGGCCGTAATAAAGAGGTGACTGTATTAACGAGGTGACCATGAGGTGGGGTTCCGCTGTGCTAGTTAGTAATTTGGATATTTTGATCGATGTAAATCAATGTTTACAATAAAAGACACTGAAAGATTTTATTATTAATAATTTTGACAATTAATTTTTTGCAAAGTTCTAATAAATGTGTTTATTTCTTTCTTAGTTATTCCAGTTAAACTTGGAATTATTGGCGTGATGAACCGAAGTCAACTAGATATAAATAATAAAAAGGTATCTATTATTAAAATTACACAGTTTACTTAAATTGCGCAAATCAAGTACAGTCTTATTGCAAGTTTACACTATAGGTTATCATTTGTAAGTACAATTGAAGCGCGTTAACACGCCCACCTAAGGATCATAAAAATTTGACCATATTAACGGAGTTGGTTCTAATTTCATGACTGGCGTGTTTTTTAAAACACGTTACTTAAAAATGACGTCTTGACAGATATATATGTATCACAGTTGCACTTTAAACAGCTGTTACTTTAACAAATATCCGGATTGAAAATATGTTTGAAAAAATTGAAACTTCAAAAGACAACCCTAGAATATAAACATAAGTTAACTGGTTCGAGTGGCCGTGTTAACGGTGTAAAACAGAAACTGGATTATGCAAGTCGGAATTACAGAATGTGGCCATTGGTTGTATTAAGGGAGCGGCCACATTAACTAATAGGGTTGTCTAATAAGAAAATTTAATACGTATGCCTGTTTCGCTGGGACAAAAAAGTGGCCCTAGTAACGGAATTTAAGGAGGAGCTCCACTGTAACATGTTGTGCTGAGTAGATGCCGTGATGTTACGTTGACAAAGGCGCCATTGGGACACTGAAACATCGATTCTTATCTTTTTATTTGCTCCCGCACACAAATATGAGTTTGTAATTACTTTTGTTATATTTTCTTTTTCTGCAGACTATTCAAGCTGCCCTGAGAGATGAAGCACTCTTTTTTCAAAAGAATTATCCGGCCTTAGCGTCTCGAAACGGCACTCCTTTCTTAGCGCGGACTCTAAATAAGGTACAAACGAGCTCAGACTGAATGATAGAAGAAAAAGACAATTTACAGGTCTCCTTATGTACTGCTAGCTTGTAGAAGCCCTTGGGAAAGTTTTAGAACACTTGAGAAGTACGAACAGCACTTAGCTCCTCTATGAAGCTTCATTGAGTGTACCTCCTGTAAGAATTTAAGCAAAAGGAAGGGCTTACACTAAGTACTGTTATGAGAGCGGTTTTCATTTGAGTGTGGAAAAGCAATTGGGTTTACACTAACTATGCTACAAGATTGGCTCAAAAAACTCGCGCCACTTTTTCATCCAATCAGAAGTAAAACTAGAACAAAGCATGACTCGTTCGTACGCGCTTTCCCGCGCTTCCCGTCAGGTACATGAATTTTGATTGGTTCATGCTATTGTCCTTTATGATTGGCTAAGAGCGATTACTTTGGTTTTGGTTATACCACACTGAATTATGCCATTTGTTATAACGCGTCAATAATTACAACCCAACGTTTGCAGACTTATGATCGTCCTTCATGTAGCAGGATACTTTGCAGTTCCTCCATTATTTAGAACAAGAACAGTCTCTCTCCATTCCTGAACGTCTTCTGATCCTGCAGATTTTTGTCAGGACAAGATGCTATAAACAAAAATAAAGTCAGACCTTTTAAGTGCTTAAATAGGGCATTTGTTTTCAGCTAAAGAACGCCTAATCATAGGTTTTTGATACTGAACGAGACTCGTGATAATTTTCTACTTATTGAATAATTTCCTTTCTTTCTTACAGCTGTTAATGCACCATATTAGGAATTGCCTGCCGGAGCTGAAGTCACGTGTTAATGCTATGACGTCACAGTACCAGCATTTACTACAAAGCTATGGAGAACCAGTGGAAGACAAGGTAGTATTTGTTACAAAGTTGACACTCTAACGCGCCTTTTGATTGGTTGTGTATAGTCACAATGTGGGCTGCCCTAATCTGCAGTGTGCCGTAATCGCTTCACTCTGCACTTAATCGGAATTAAGTATCTACTGATGAGCTGGAAAACTATTTCTGAGTTAGCTGTAAAGCCCGAGAAAGAAAAATTGGTGACCAAGGAGGAAATATTCCTTCAACCTCTTTGGGATTCGAACCCATGCATGCTAATTCAGTATAATGTAGATTGATGACTACTGTTGCTCTCTGGCTCAACAACGACGGCAGACAAGAGCAGACGGCGAGTTATCTGCATATAACGTGATTTGTGGCAAGTTAGATCTGCAGGATTTTAGACTGCGAGCGGTCTCTCGAAAATCCGCGGGGAAGATCCCAAACGAACAGGGGCGTCGAGAGGCGAGCGGCGAAGCTAGTTGTGCATCCGCGCGGCTCGCGGTTTCGCCGCTCGCCACTGCTCGTTCGTTTACGTTCTTAATTTGCAGATCTTCAAGCAAAAGAGTGACAGCTCGTAGTCTAGAAAAATTATTTTTCAATGCAAATCTCAGCCAGAGAGCTCTGGTATTTGACAAGCTGGAAATTAGCGAAATAACTGTGGTAATTCAGTAAGTACTACAAATTGCATTTTTACCCCTCGCCAGTACTGAAGAGCCGTCATGTTGCTCCTATCCTGGAGAATGAGACCTGAATGAATGAAAGGCCTTATTTGAGAGTCAAAGGGTATTTAACTGTTTAAAAAAACTAATTGGGACACTATTACGCTTTACTGAACCCTATGTTTGTGTATGTACAGGGTCCAATGTTACTTCAGCTTATTACGAGATTTGCCTCTGCGTACTGTGCCATTATTGAAGGAACAGCACGGGACATTGAAACAACAGAACTGTGAGTTAAATGATCATTTATTACACGATTAAGTTGGTTCAGAGAGCCAATAACTAACCAATCAAATTGCTTCATTGGCGGTCCAGTATTCTTTAAGTATTGGACCGGGCACTGTCCCGAATGATCCCGCACGATTACTCTTGAAGAATTTCTGGTGTGATTTTCTCAAAGAACTTGCTCTTACATAAAAGATTCCTTTTCTTTTTCTTCCAATTATCTTTCTCTTCTGTTTTGTTTAACGTCAGACATGAGTACACCCCTAACTGGCTCTAAATCAGAATTGGGCGGTTGAAATTTGCTTTGTTTTTTTTCCAGTTCGTAAGCGTGACATTGTTTTCTTTACGTTTAACCAAGCTTGCTCTGAACTGCAGTGAGAGAATATCGGTCCTTGGTGTATTTTGTTCGGACTCGCTGCGTTCGGTCCGTACTGTCAAGACCTCGGGCCGATACTCTCCCAGCGCGGCCCTCGCGCATGGTAAATAAGGTATGTTTTACCCCTAACGTTAGGCTTTTATGAAAGATTCCTTCACTTGCAAACTAGCGACAACAAATCAACTTTGATTTACGAGTGTCTTGCATCTTACGACCGAGAAATCTGTGGCCCTTGGGATTTACGATTGAACTGGAATTTAGAAATAATTTTTTTAAAATTTTTATTTATTTATTTGTTTGTTTGTGTATTTATTTATTTATTTATTTTTATTTATTTTATTTTATTATTATTATTTTTTTTTTTGTGGAGGGAGGAAAAAGCGGAGAACACAGAGACTAAACCTCGTTACAAGGTCGAGAACCAACAAAAAACTCGAGACAAGCGCTGCCACAACTGCGCCACCTCCTTAATTTGCCTCACGGCATTTACTCTGATTTTTAACTTGTCTTATTGTTACTTTTGAAGGTGTGGAGGAGCTAGAATATGCTACATTTTCCACGATATTTTTGGTCGAACGCTAGAAATGATGGATGCAATGGAAGGCTTGGCAACCAGAGATATACTAACAGCTATCAGAAATGCAACGGTAAACATTTGAAATTATTCAGAATGTTTTTAGGTAATATATCAATCAAGTTCGACCGTACTTGACCACATTTCCAAACACCGAGAAGAAAGTTGAAAATACGACGCGCAGCGGAGTATTTTTGGCGAACTTCGAGGTGTTTGGAAACGTGGTCAAACACTGAGTAACAAAAATGAGTTTGAGAAAAATAAGTTCGAAACACGACCTTGACATTTTGTGTCGTTGAATGAAAATGTTGTATGTGCCTGCTGTTCCAGGGCCCTCGTCCAGCGTTATTTGTTCCAGAGATTTCATTTGAACTCCTGGTCAAGAGACAGATTCGTCGACTGGAAGAACCCAGTCTCCGGTGTGTGGAGCTCGTCCATGAAGAGATGCAGAGGATTGTGCAGCATGCATTCAGCCAGGTAACATTAAATCGCGCTGCCATTACGTCATGTGAAAACACTAAATATGGATCAGAGATCGTTCCCAGGCCCTTTTTGGAGACCGTGTGTGAGCTTGCGCACGAATAAGTACTATGTATACTTGTAACTCACTACTAAAATGTGTAAAACGTCAATGGTTAAAGTTTTGTATCAAATTAGACTAGCCACCGTTCGCTAAGTAGTCGCAATGGAGTTAACTTAATTTTTGCTTTATACCTTAGGTGATGGAGGTAAAGAGATTTCCACATCTTCATGATAGGGTTGTCGAGGTGGTCACCAGCCTTCTTCTTCGACGGCTGCCTTCCACAAATGAAATGGTAATTGCTTATGAAATTAACTTCTTGAATTCACTAATATGCCGCAAAAAATTTTTCTCACGTAGCTCGACTTGTGCCCTCGAAATCTCCATTTGAAGCGGCCGGATATAAATTAGCATACAGTATTTTTTTTNAAAATGTTTTGACATGTTTGTACGGTAATTCAACATGCCAGTTTTTTAACCTATACCCACCTTCCCTAAAGGATTATCTCTCCTAATCATGCAGTCTTTTGTAACCACCTAACATAATAGCAAGAGGAGCCCATTAATGTCAAATAAAATTAAACACAACAAATAAATCAGGTTTATTATGGCTGTCAGCATCAATGTTAATCCATCCCAAAAAAAAAAATAATAATAAATTTTGAACCTTCCAAAAACGTTGAAATAAAGTCCAAACTAGTAAGCTGTTAAGATCATTTAAATTACCTTCTTTGCGTGTTTCTAGTGGTCTTTAAAGTGAAGTCGTTTAGTGGGCCTTGTTGCTGTAGCTATTTTATTTCAGGCTTTCAAAGCTCTCATGTGGGGTTTATGTAGCTAATCGTCTATATATGTATATGTACTTCCTTGTTTCCCGTGAGGTTTCTTGATCGATTTATGGCAATTTGGGTGCCATTTAGCGTCAGTGCTTAGTCCTCTATATATATTTACCCTAATGTAAACAATAGTGTAGAAAGGTCATGCGCTTGACACGAGTTAAAAGAAGACAAAAGATTGTTTGTTACACTAGCTAAAGTATGTTCTGAGCCAGGAACCAATCGTGTTGCGTTCACAATTTCTAATTAGACTGATTTTTTTTTTTCTTTTCTTTCCGACTAAGGAACGTAAGCGTCTCAGCAAGTTAGCACAAAACAGTCTTGTAAATGGACCGATGGAGGTATAGTGATAACAGTGATGTGCATTCATAGAAGGCTGCATGGTCGCGTGGTTGTAGATTGCTGGTCACGGAATTGTTTTTAGTCCCAAATTCGAGGCGTTGGCCACACCAGGTCTATGCGCTGTTGATGCTTGCTACCAATAGCGCCTTCCTCTTTAGGATTCGTAATTGTTGTTTTCATTTTAAAAATTTGTTTCATGATTTGATGTAAGTATCTTAACGAGTATTAATTGATAAATTGATTTCTATCAGCTTAGTACACTTCAAGGTCGACTCCAATCAATCAGTTTCAACTTTGTTCAGCTGTGACTTTTCCTGTACATTCTTGTACACTTTAAAACCGACGTCGAAAGGTTTTATTGCTTTTTATTATTATTATTGCTTAAAATAGCGTGACTAGCGCCATCTCATCATTTCCCCTGTAATCCTTGGCTGGTAACCAGATCTCCCTGAACTGGAATTTTTTTCCCCTCAGGGTGTTAGATCCCAGACCTCCACTCCGGAAGCAAGTCCCGTTCATCGGCCCGACAAAAACCCAAGCGTTAACACATCCTTTGGCGCCAGTCTCCCAGGAGACAAAAATCCGGCCCCCTCGGCCTCAACTGGAGGTTTTACCTCTTGGTTTCCCGGCATGCGTAACACTAATGCCCAGTCCAGCTCTGACCGTACGAGTGTAGTGGTTGGACCAACCAAGTCTTCGGCTACGGAAGAATTGGTAAGCGACAATTTCACAAACAGAAAGATCTTTAAGGGTCTTCAAGTTCTACCGTTCAATAATCAATTCTAAACTGCACACGAGCACGCAGACGTAAAACAAGGGGCTATTTATTGTTGCGTAGTCGTGCAGCACCTGGTTTATTGGACTGACTAGGAAATAAGCAGCGCATGCAAAATCGGTCCTATGAGAAACAACTGTAACACTGGCACTGCCGTACAACACAATAACCTGAACCTCCACTACCCCTGATCAGCGGGCAATTGTTTCTCCAGTGCTGTCATAAAANCCTAAAGCTATAATGTGCTTCTTGGTGAATTTTGTTAAGGAGAAGATCCAAAGTGAACTGGTAGAGAAACTTTATAAGGCAAGTAAACGTTTTCTGGAGGACGGCATTTTCTTTTTGGAAGGTATATTTCTTGTTTTTGTCTGAGTCACTGTTATACAGCTAACGAGAACTCACGTCGATGTTATATTACAGAGTGAAATCTTCGAGAGACTTCTGGAGGAAGCAGAGCAAATGCATATCAAGAGAAAAGAGGCTACGGAAATGTTAAAGGTACAGTAACAGAATTACAGTCCTTTTTCAGCGTACGAAAGAAGTGCCGTCCCATTGTCCCAGAGAAGTAGATTTTCCTTCTCGGCAAGTAAATTTTCATTCTCACTTGCTCGATGAGCAAGAGATCAATCAAGTGATCTGTCAACTAAATCATTAAAAGAGCAAACTAAGGCTTGCCCAGGGCAAGCAAAATTTTAGAGCTACTTGTTCCAAGGGCAAGCTGGAATTCAAGTTTTTTTCGAGCCCTGCTTTTTGTGAGAGTTTCAAAATATTGGTCGTCGTTCATTATTGCACAGTGGTGCACGGTCATGGCTTGAGGAAAGTTATTTCGCTTCGACAGAGAAATTTATTTCCGTTAGCAATAATATTACAAAACAATTGCTTCATGCTTTTATCTGTGCATCATCGAGTTACGATGCACATTAGAAGTTCAAGGGACACTCAAGAAGCTACAGTTGCTCTCGGCTGCGTTTCGAGCAACTCTTGCATTTCTAGCCTCTTCCAGGCGTTCAGTTAGCAAGGGCGCAGCGCGAAAAACGGCGAGCGAAAAAAAATGGGGAGAAGCGCGGCGAGAGAAAGCGAAAGAACGCCTGTGGGCAAACTTGACAAAAGGTCCTTCCGCCCACTTATGGACCGCCTACAAGGACCATGACCGCCGGCTTGTGGTTTTCAGTTGTCAGCAGATGTGTTGAGAAATAATTCTCCAGAATTGTAGAACGAAAATTGCTGAAAGCGCCAAAACTACAAACTAACGCTAGATCGTCGACTGGTTATACTCGTTCCTCGAAGCGTGCTAACACCTTCTCAGGAGGTCGACAGGAAAATCACGGCGTTCTTTCTCGANACCATTTTGAAATAACCGAATTCTGCCCATCCGGTTTCACTGCGCAGTCTGCATCTATGACGCACGCCTGAAATGGTTGCTCCCAGAGCTCTCGTTTTCCGACTGCTGGTTAAGGGGAACGAAGACTCTGGGAAGGAGATTGGCATCAGGTTATATAAACGTGCGCGGCCTACACATGCGCCTTATTGCCACTGAGTTTTGTACGTCATGTAGTATACCACAAAGCTTGTTGCGGCGATATCTTTGATTTAATACAAAATGTCTTCTCTTTACAGGCGCTGCAAAGAGCAGGACACATCATAAGCGAAGTGAGAGATACACACATTTGGTAGTCAAGACTGCAGCTAGAGAGAATGGCGAGAAAATTGAACAAAATGGAAAATATATGGATTAGTTCACTACTGCTACAGGATATGGAGTTACAAAACTCTGCAGAATTAACTGTCTGTCTCGGGCGTTTCCTGAGTTTTTCTAAGATTGGAACTGGATTTAATTCTTATGAGCAGTTTCCTGTTTGCAACTTGATTCATTATGCATAGATGCATCTCTACCAAGGTCTGGAATCTGACAATAATCGACACTAATTTCTAAGTTTGGAAATCAGGATTGAAAAAGACTAGACAAGTCGCTATTTTTGTTCTACAGTTTTGTTTGGATGTAACCTACTGGGGAATTTAAATTACCTTACCGGTAGCTCTGCTAGTCTCGATATCTCTGAGGCGTTAGTATGGCCTTTCACAGTATTATACTCCAATACAGTCTCGCGGGTCTCAGTTTATTTAGTTACTTCTTATTTTGCCTCGTCTGTGTTGCTTTAGAGGACAAAGAAGAATGCAGTTGTTCTAGGGCCGTCCAATCTTTTGGCCGTCAGCAGCGATCGTTTTTTTTTTTTCCGCTTGATGCGTTCAGTGCTGGGCCAAGAGGGTAGCCGTGAATTTGATTGAATTCATCCAATTGAACGTTTGACGGTCATTCGATTCTCTTGCACTGAAAGATTTTATGATGAACTTGACAACACCGACATGGGCCGCCCGTTTGCAAAATTCAACAGCTTTCGTTTTAAAACTGTTTAGCGNTTTCCTGTTTGTAACTTGATTCATTATGCATAGATGCATCTCTACCAAGGTCTGGAATCTGACAATAATCAACACTAATTTCTAAGTTTGGAAATCAGGATTGAAAAAGACTAGACAAGTCGCTATTTTTGTTCTACGGTTTTGTTTGGATGTAGCATACTGGGGAATTTAAATTACCTTACCGGTAGCTCTGCTAGTCTCGATATCTCTGAGGCGTTAGTAGGGCTTTTCACAGTATTATACTCCAATACAGTCTCGCGGGTCTCAGTTTCTTTAGTTACTTCTTATTTTGCCTCGTCTGTGTTGCTTTAGAGGACAAAGAAGAATGCAGTTGTTCCAGGGCCGTCCAATCTTTTGGCCGTCAGCAGCGATCGGGTATTTTTTTCCGCTTGATGCGTTCAGTGTTGGGCCAAAAGGGTAACCTTGAATTTGATTGAATTCATCCAATTGAACGTTTGACGGTCATTCGATTCTCTTGCACTGAAGGATTTTATGATGAACTTGACAACACCGTCATGGGCCGCCCGTTTGCAAAATTCAACAGCTTTCGTTTTAAAACTGTTTAGCGGTGAATACGTCAAACG